CAAAGATTTAATATATATATGTATGTATGTATGTGTGTTGATATCTAACAATTATAATTTGGATATTTATGTTTATATATCATACATATCGCTTATGATATATCTAAAGCTTAAATTTTATTTTTTTTTTACATTGATATCACTTAAATATTTCATATCAAATCAAAGATATCATCATTTTAATATTTTTAAATGAAATCTATATTTCCACACATAAGATGATGTGGCATGTATGTAAAAATTAAAGTTTTTATGTTAGATAAGTAAATATATATAAGAATTAAGCGGTATATATGTATATATTTCAATGTTAGAATGCACAATTCTATTAACATAATAATCAAAAATAAACATATAAGATTCCTTAGCCTAAATTTTGGTTTAGAATTCATAGTAAATTGATTGAATGGATTTTATCAAATATCTCAAGTCGATGAATATAGAACAAAAATTGATTAAATTTCTTTGCTTGATTATTTAATATCATATTTTTTTGATAAAATTGATTCAATATTATAATATTGATGGCATTTTTCATTCAAGTCTTTAGAAATTATAGATTTCAAAATGAGGGTACGTGTAAATACATTATTATGTCTCAATAACATTATATCATAATTGGAGTACCGCCGCCAGCCCGATCACTTATCATTTATTAAAAATTATTTCGCATGATAGCTAGAATTAGATTGGCTTGGGGGTAGCCTTATTGACCTAGCTTTTTATTATTGTGGCATCTTTAGCATATGTTGGTCATACTAGCACCCAAGACATGTGCCTTTTCCCAATAAGAGATGAAAAGGTTAGAGGATCTAGACTTTATATATTAAGGTAGGAACTTACCCTATCCTCTATCTCATCATCTACCTTCCAATCTATATATCTCTCTCTAAGTACTTTTAAAATCATTTCAGTTTAATGATCTCTCTCTCTCTCTCTCTCTCTCTCTCTTTATATATATACATATATATATATATATTAAATATAAATTTTATGGAAATATCCAAAACAGTTAAAATGTGAAAAAAAATTTAATTTTTGAGAGGTTTTTTAACGTACATCGCATCTGAGGCTATCAGCTTTGAGGGACGTGCATGCTCGCCATGAAACATTATCTGGCACGACTTTTACATCGCATCTAACGGCTGAGACAGCATATAGAAAGGTGTATCACCTCGGCAGTGCATGGGATTGACGGGCAGTAATAAAAGGAGGGAAATTGGGAGAACTGCTCCTGAAGGATACCGGGAGGGCAGTAAAAAACACTAGCCAGAGAACAAAACGCGGAGAATAATCAGCTTTTCAGAAAGCGCGATACTGTTTGATAAAAAAGCATACAGAAACAGAGAAATCAGATTTTGCACAAAATGAAGCTCAATATTTTTTTATTTTTATGACTGTATTGGTTAGCAAAAATAAAATCTTATTAATTTAAGGTAAATTTATGTTTAAAATCGAGTCCTTTATATTTGGAGCTGTTTATTTGGTGCGGACGCGTTTTCAAAACGCGTTTGGACTATTTGGATAAACTGTATTTTTGCAGCTTATGCGTTTTAAAAACACTAAAAGCAGCGTTTTTACACCGCGGTGAGTTTTCTGGCAATGGTCTGACCTTTCCAAAAAAATAAAAATTTGTAATAGCTACTGCACCTAGCTTATTAGCAAATTATTTTTAATCAATTTATCAGCAGATTATTCAATGAGCTGTAGCTGCTCCAAACAGACCCTTCATTTCAACCTCTTTTAATCTCTACTTGTTTTTGTAAAAAATTCCACATATTTTGGTCTTAATTCATACGCATTTACATATCTGACGGCAAAACTTTCAAATTTGAATACTTAGCATTTTGATGTTTTAAATTTATATATAATAAAAATGTGTATCTCATTTTTAAAAAATGATAAATAATATTATTTTTTATGTGATTTTAAAGATTAGAGTGTTATGTGTGTAGAGAGAAAGGTCTACGTGAGATATACAATACATAAGAATTGTGTGCCATGTATGGGAATGCCCTCTTTTTTTCTTATTGCATCATGAAGTATTTGAATCCTGAAATTTATTGAGTTAATTAATAATATATAAAAAATATATATAGAAATATACGGTACACTGAATAACACATGTAAATTTTTTTTTCATAAATAATGTTATATGAAAAGAAGAAATCACAAGCTTTAGCTTAGATAAATTGGTTTTACCATGCATATTAAAGATTTAATGATTGTGTTTGGAGTTTAGCTTAAACTCACCAAATCACATATGTCGAACTAACAAATTAGATATGGATGGTCATCGGAAATAACTCAACAAAGTAGCCGTCGTAAAGCCCTTAGAAAATAGGACTTTGATTTATCTAATTTCCCCAAGAAGAAGGCTCACATCCGTAGGAACTTTAAGCATAAGAAGAGTGATCATTTGTGAGACCAATTTGGTGATATACGTCAAACATGTTAGCGCTCTTTGTGGCTTGGTGAGGATGTGGTTGTCGCACTACTCAGAACCTGAGACTCTCCTAAGTATCAAAGAAAAAGGGACCAGGTAAAGCTAAATTATCGCTATGACTGCAAGGGCCTCTAAGCACACCAGTGTAGCCCTCCCACATACAGAGTACAAGAGGAGGCTGGTGAGTCTTTTTTTTATATAAAATCTTATTTTACTTTAAATGTATGCTTACTACTCCATTAAATGACAAGCACTGGAGAAAGGACAAGAGCCAACTACTGCAACGTTACACAAGCGCACCCACATGCAACGGAACGGATCAATCCTGGGTGAACTGTAGATCGCAGGCTACCCAGGTAACTCAGGAGATTAATAAGTATAAAATTCAAATAAATATAAAAAAAAATTTAGCATCTCACTTTCATTAATCATATGTTTTGTAGGAGGCATTTTTGAGGCTCAAAGAGAGTTGATCTCAATAGTCAACCTGTGGTTTGGGGGCTTCTCACAATTCTTCTTAGTACGACCTCTAGAGGGAAGCTGTCGGCGAGAATAAGGGTAGGGTCTATGAATTGGGGTCGTAGGCATCGACCTATGATGTTATCTCTGTTACTGATACATCTGGTGCATTCTCTTCCACTTTACAAGAGATGGAGATGAGTCGTTACGTTGTAACTGGGGCTGTTGCCCAATTAGCCCCACTGAGATTGGAGATGAGGGAAGTGATCAAAACGGTGTTGCTTTAGGAATTGCATGAAGGGAAGGAATTAGTGCAGTATGAGGGTGGGGATGATGATGATGAGGAGGAGAGGAAGATGAGGAGGATGAATATAGTGTTATTTTTTTTGTTTGATTGTGCATTGAACAATTTATTGTTAGCAAACATTAGTTTTATTGTGAATTTGTGTATTTTATTTGATTTAATTCAATTATTTTTATTTTATTTATGCATAAGATTTATGTTTTAATTAGTTTTATTGTTATGTTGTGTTGTGTTTTGATTGATCTGTTACAACTGCAGATGTGCAGATTGTAGCGCTGAAAGTGAGTTATATATATATATATATATAATATATATATATATATATATATATTTCTGATGGTTCAGGTTTTCCATGGCTTGTCGATACTTTTACGACGGTTTATAGAACAAGCAACAGTTTTCTGATGGTATATCAAATAAGTGACATACGGGCAAAGTGTTGCACTTTTGCTATGGACATAGTCGTTGGTAAATTCCCACGGTTAGCCAACAGTTTGGGGACAGTTTACCTACATAAGTGCGACACTTTTTCCGACGGAACTGCAATACTTTTTCTAGAGATAGTTTCATCATTTATATAATCAATGACCAAGGTACAGTTAAACATGACATGTTTATGGATCTATAACAATGATTATGGTGTGTTGATTAATATAAATCGTCGTTAAATCTGTCGGTAATTGAATTACCGAATAGTGTTTTTGTTATGTCAATTTTATCATAGCTAAACCGTAAGTAAATGTATTACATATGATTTATTCGTTATTATCGAATGTATTTGACTGTCGATAATAAACTAAATTTCTACAATGTCACTCTATTGCTGTGAATTTTCCGACACATCATTTTGACGCTGCTCATGCAGATAACTCTTGGTAGTCCAATGGACTGGTCCATAGTCTTTTAATATTTATAAGGGTGCCACACTTAAATTTTATAAATAGAGTCATACCAATTTAAAAAGGAGCATAGAAGGGGAACTTGGACCTGAAGGTAGAGAGAATGAGCCAACTTATAGATAATACCATGGACCGAATAAACGACGAACACTTTCTGCTCATGCAGCTGCCGACCACCCTCGCGTTCGTCGTCATTGGCGAATCTTATAGGGAAACACAGTTCAACACAACAATGAGTCATGAATATAGAGTAAGGATGTGTCCCGATGACGGGGCAACAAAGTGACCCAAAGACGATGCAACGACACACAACGAAGATGGTGCAACGATGCGCCTTAAAGACGGTGATGCACCCAAGAGACGATGTAATGACGCACATCAAGGACGATGTAACGATGCATCTCAAATAAGTTATAATGATGCATGTATCTCAAAGATGTCGTAACTCCCTGTAATAACCACTTACATGCAACTTTCATATTTTGAATATAGTGGCCTTCTCAAAACTCCTAAAGTTTTATCCTCACAGCTCTCCACTACGCCCAAGATTTATGTAATTCACAGCAAATGGAGCCCCTTAGTACAAGCTTGACGATCAATTGACGCTACTACAACCCACAACTACAACATATGTGACAAACTATGAACTACGTGGTTAACAATTCAAGCAGCTCTGTGGCCCACGTATATTATTGTGCTCACCGCTTCGACCTATGTGACTAACGACAATCT